CTAGCACCAACAACAACATTCTACAGTAAAGACAACCACACCAACACCAACAACAACACCATACAATAGAGAGAGGCACACCAGCACCAACAACAACACCCCACGACACCAACACCAACCTCAACACCATATAAATTCCAAGTATTCAAGCGTCAAAATTCCAACAACCATAACAAAAGAAAGCATCAATTCCAACAGATCAGCCTAAAGAAACCTTCATTGGCTCACCAACAAACCACACAGTCACCAGCACTAAAACCCCACATCACTAGCACCAACCTCAACACCATATTAATTCCAAGTATTCAAGTGTCACATGTCCAACCACCATAACAAAAGAAAGCAGCAATTTCAATAAACTAGCTTAAAGAAACTTTCATTGGCTCACCAACGAACTACACAGTCACCAACACTAAAACCCCACAACACTAGCACCAACCTCAACACCATAACAAGTGTGACAAGTCCAACCACCATAACAAAAGAAAGCAGCAATTTGAAACAAGCAAAAAAATCTTCTTTGACTAATATGTGAATTGGAGAGGCAAAAACCTCGCAAAAAATTCCAAATATCTAGCTTGAAGAAAATAATCTCCCAAAAAATTCCAACAAAGAGAGCTTAAAATTGCATGAGGTAAGAAACAAATCTATCAACAACTGCGGGATTACACAAAGGAACAAAACACATTCACTTACAGTAACTGGAGCACTGAGTGAGAAGGGAGAGGAGAAGGGTGGGCGAGGGAGGCACTAGTAAGAGAGAACGAGCACTAACAGAGTAACCAGAGCATCGAGTGAGAAAGGAGAAGAGAAGGGCTGACGATAGGGAGTCAGGTGAGGGGGTTTGATCATAGAGATCGATCACATAACTAAGGGAAGGACACAGAATCAGGAGAGGAATTGAGGGGCTCAGTGGTCATACCATTTGAAGGAATGCGGGCCGCAAGGTCAAAATTGCGGTCGTGATCCTACGTATCCATAAACACATGGAGAATACCACAACCAAACACCAGACCGTGTTCTCAAATCTTGAAACGCGATGGTACTGCCACCCCAAATGATGCCTAAGTCTCCTTCCAAGTTTTCTTTTCAATTTTTGTACCAACCTCAAGCTTCTTCTTAGGGTTTTCTACTTTTCTTCTTTTTCTCTCTTTTTTTTTCTTTTCTCTTCTTTTCTTTTTCTAGTTTATTTCTCCTGAGAATTACTATATATGATTAAACATTTTTTTTCCTTTCTCTTTTTAAATAAGATGAATGTTTGTTTCCCTTAGGGACAAGTCTCAAAAACTAATTCTTTAATGGCACCCTTCATGTTATCTTTGAGCTAAAATTTAGGACAATACTAAACTGGCTAACAAAAAACTGAAAAGACTTAAAATATCTTTTGATCGCTACTCAATATTTTAATTACATCTTTTTAGTTATCCTAAATTTTTTTTTGGTTCAATTAGAAGTTGTTAAGTTTTGAAATCTTATTAATTAAACATTGAGGACAATCTTTCCTAAATGGCATTTATCCTATTCTAAAAGAACTTTTGATAAGCAAATTGAGTTAATCAAAATTTCTAGCAGGGGTTACCATATTAACTTTTAATCTTTTACTAAGTTATGTGATTTACTCTTGGGACTCAAAAAAGGTAAATAATTTCCTCCCTCCCCGAACTTGCTTTTTTCCATAAAAAATGTAACATGCAGATAAAATTAAACATATGTACAACAAGTAAGTGCATGAAAGGGTACATACATGAGTAGTCACAATAATCTCAGAATACAAATATGTGAAATATGTAACAATGCATAAATCAGAGGAGGTACAAAAATGTAACAGAAGCAAAAAATCAGGGTTCTTGACTCTTGCCCCATCATTTAAGAATAAATACTCTGTAGAAAGACGAGTTAAAATTAATCCAAATGAACATTTAAAGCAAATTTTAAAGCGAATTTCAAAACAAATACATAAAGTAAAAATACTCAACACATCAGATAACACTTGAGTTGTCTTCCAAGATAGCTCTCAGTTTAATGTCCTCAGCCTGACGAAAAATTCATCCTCTATGATTAAAATTTCAATTTAGCTGTCTCTCATTAATTTCCCAATATTTTGTTGATCCTGAAGTTTTTACTAAGTCCTCAAAATTCAATTTTTCTTGCAACTTATTTGTCTCAGTTGGATAACAGTCTTTCAAAGGGCATGCAGAGGGGTTTATTCAGATGATCATTCCTAAGGGTACCTTCTTGATCCAAAATTATTTCAATTATTCTTCTATTGTCAAATCAGTGTTTTCCTCACAAATTGCAAGAAATGGGTCCCTATAAGATAATTTAAGGTCTTCTAAATTTTTGGTTGAGCTTTTTCTATGTTTATTAGGTTTTGGATCTAATTCTTACTGAGTCACTCTCTTGCCCAAGGATGCCCAAGGATATCTTCCAATTCTTTCCCTTTGGGGTACTCCTACTGGTGATATTATGGGTTCAACTATCTCCTCTCATAATCCATGGGGGTGCCTTGAAAATAAGAGTGCATTCTTCCTTAGTCATTATCCAACCAAATTCATCCAACTCAGCATGCTTTTCGAGGATAAACTCTTCAAATTTCATGTTATGGCCCTCTACTATCCCTGACATCCCTTACAGTTCATTGCTTAATAGGTTAACTAACTGCCCAACTTGATTTTTCATGTCTCTAAGCGCATCAGGATGATTTTGTAACTCCTTTCCTAAGTTTATAAAAAATTCCTCCAAATACTTTTTTTTTCCTTAAAGGTGGCCATTATCCTAGTTATTCCAACTTCCTATAGGATCAACTTGAGCGCTCTTTCATTGTTGGTTGTCTACATTAGGGTTATCATGTTTTCAAATGAGGCTATTAACTTTGGGTGTAGGTGTTGGATTCATTCTTCAAATTTACTACCAATTTTTCTAACGATAGGTTATCCTCCCTTAATTAAAGTTTTGAGGTGAGTTCCCAACGTTGAGTTTGACAAATGTGGTCCCTGCCTCAGTTGTCTCAATTTTCTACAAGGTTGGCTTGAGTTCTCCCCCAATATTCATTTTCTACACTTATGTCATTCATGTTCCAGTATCAAGACATCTTTAATTTTATTATGTGCATTTTATTAAAACATTATTCTTGACTTTAACTTTGTTGAAATTAAAGTTTAAATAATCTTGAAGTCGAAATAGAAAAAAATTGATTCAAATTGTGAATTATTCAGATACTTGCTTCTCATAGATTTGTTCTGGCCATAATTAAGGTCTTATGTTTGAGGTCATTCGTAAAAGAAGGGTTTGCAAATAAATAAAGTAGTGTTAAATATTATCTTTTTCAAATTTATTCATTTTCAATCAAATTTGAGCCAAATTTGAATTACTCCAATTCTGACATTTTGTTTGAAAATATATTTTTTATTTATTTTATCGAATTTGAAGTGTAATCAAGATTTAAGGGAGCGTAATAAATATATATTTGATAGTAATTATTTAAATATTCAACTCTTAATTAAATTCAATGTAAATTTTCCTAGATATTATTTAAATTATATAAAAAATAATAAAAAATTATTTTATATATCTAATTACTTATTTGATATTTTTATTATCATAACTTTTAAAACACTTAAAACATTCAAAATTTTAATTAAACAAAAAAAGAAAGGTTGGCTAAACTTGATCTCTTAATTTTTTTAAGGGCACTTACATTATTACATAATATATATATATATATATATATATAAACAAAATTTTTATTCTAACACCTAAACATTCATATTTATATACATACCACTCAAACATAAATTTGTGACATAAAATATCAAAATTTTGGCATTAGACATGTAAATACATAAAACTTTTATGATACGTACATAAATACATTTCCTTTTAAGGAAAAATTAGGCAGCCATATTTATATATAGATTACGTTGCTGTCTTAAATCTTTACATAAATAGGGGTGTAAACGAGCGTGTTCGGCTTGTTTGCTTAACGAGCCGAACACGGGTTGTTCACGAACAAAAAGTCATTTTAACTACCCTGATCATGTAGCCATAAGACAATAAGAGTTTGAACAAGATTTAAAAATTATTATTTACATTAAAACATCATTTGAATCTAATTTAATAATTTTTATTTTATTTTCTTAATCAATATTTTAATTGATTATAAATCTTTGTAGCCTTGTAGCCAATTAGATTTTTTTAAAATACTATTATATATATATATATATATGTATATATAACTTAATGAGTAGTATTTCGAGCCAAAACGAGCCGAACACGAACGAACACATCTTAGTTAATGTTCGGCTTGTTAACTTATCGAACGAAATCAATGAGCCAAAAATAAGCTTATTAACGAGTCGAACACGAACTATTCACGAAGAACGAGCTGTTTTCACAGCCTTATACATAAAAATACAATATTTAATTTTTTCAAAGTGAAATTAAAGATTTTAAGTCTTATATATATAAATAAAAATTTTATTGCACTGAAAGTCTGAAAAAGTGATGTAGAAGCTATAGCAGCTTCTCTCCTGCATCCTGTATTCTCTCAAATCTCTCACCTCCTGTGCTCTCCATCTTCCCCATGAGGATACGGAAGGCGGGGAAATTTCTCGGCTGCACCGCCGATTATCGCACAGCGACGCCACCTCCGATGCCGGCCGATTCTGCCGGAGCAGTCTCATCCACGGCGGCCCTGCTATGGGAGCTAAACCGTTCGTCGTGGATCGATTATTCGATCAACCTCAGCTTTTCTCATCATCGACGGGTTAGATCCATTCTTCCTCTAAACCCCCTATTTCTTCTAAGGAAAAAAGAGATCGCCGGGTTTACTTTACTTTTCCGTTACATCTTTGAAAGAATCTGTATGGTAGCACAAACCCTAGATTGTTCTGCTACGGCTAAATCAAGCGGGTTTATCGCATATTTAGGGCTAATCGTCCTGCTTTCGTTTCGGTGGATGGATCCGTATGTATGGAGTCGTAACTGATTGAGATTGACAGGATGCAAAGTTGGAATCCGTGAATGAGGATCAGATGAGCGCATTCGAAAATAGCTCCGAAGCTAAAGAAAAGGAGAAAGAGAAGATAGAGGAGGAGGAGGAGCAGGATAATAAAGTGCAGCGGAGGAAGAGAGGAGAGAAAGAAACTGAAGCCATGGATTCAATCGCAGTAATCAACTGCAAGAAAACGGATGGTAAAGGATGGCACTGCAAGCGCCCTGCGCAGAGTCCGCACTCGCTTTGCACCTACCATCTCACCCAGCTGCGCTCCTACAGGGCTCGATTTGAAGACCATGTCTCCAGCGATTACCGGAAGAAATCTGCCGCGACGGTCGATTGCGGCGGAGCAGCTTCCAGTTACTACTACTATTACTCCATTTTGGGACCTTGGTGGGGCAAGCGCAGAGGTCCTGTCAATGGAAGTTCGGATTGGAATGAGGACTGCGGTGGAAAGAGTACTGATAATGAAACCCATGCTGTTGCTTGCGATAATGGCGAAGAAGAAGCAGAAGAAGAAGAAGCAGTAGAAGAACAAGAAGAAGAAGAAGAAGAAGAAGATGGGGAGAGCCGTGGTGACGTTATCTACAAGAAGAAGAAGAAGAAGAGGGTGATCAAGAGGCGAGGGAGGAAGCCGGTGAAGGCTCGTTCTCTAAAATCTATCCTTTGATCAGATTTTGGGAAGTTGGTTCTGAAATTTGAGCTCAGTGTGGCGTAGTGTAGGTGTTGATGGGGACGATGACTCCATCTGGGAGCTGGGAGCTGGGCTGTTATGTAAAATAACAACTAACAAACTGTTACGATTTTCAACCAGATTTTGGAAAACCTTTTTAAGTTAATCTCGAAAGTTGATATATCTTATATGCTTATTGAATTTATGACAATTACGAATACAGCACTATAAACATTGTTATTTACAAATCTAACATTTTCTTTCATCCATTTTCTTAAATTCTCGCTTTCATAATTATCCACCACCTTTTCATTTATGTCAGGAATTCATTTTTTGTTTAATAAGTAGTTTATTAAGGAAAAAATATTACATCAGGACTCTGCACGTAGAGTTACGTACGAAGTCCAATAAAATCACACCACTCGTATAGAAAAAAAAAATCAGCCCGGTAACACAGGGAAATATTTCCCCTCGTGTTATTCAGGTGTTATTGTATGTTATTCAAGTGTTATTAATGTGTTATTGTGTTATGATAACACTAGGAATATTCTCATAACACAATAACACATGAATAACATACAATAATACCTAAATAACACGGGGAGAATATTTCCCTGTGTTATTAGACCTATTTTTTTTTCTCAGGTGACGTGATTTCATTGGACTCCGCACATAACTCTATGTGCGGAGTCCTGATGTAATATTTTTTCATTATTAAGAGGTACAAAATGTTTACTCGACGGATGATTTGTGCCGAACTTTTACATGCACGGCAATTGAAATATTCTTATTTTTAAAAACGATCACACATGTATTTTTGTCACGATCAAATCATTCGAATTTTGAGTAAAATGATAAACATTGGTTGGGTTTTTATTATGAATGTTGATATTTGAGTGTGAATTTAAAAAAAATGAAGAAAGAGAGCTAATTTTATAAATATGAAAATTTTGAATGCTATGCATTTAATTGCCCACTTTGATTTAAATGTTATTTCTTTAAGTCATTAAATAATTCTTTTAAAAATCAATGTATTTTTAATTAAATGTATTAACCAGAAAAAAAAAAAACTTTTCTTTTACGAAGGACAAATTTAATATATTACAGTTAAGGGTTCGTCTTTCCTATTACTCTTTGAATTAGAATTTTGAAACTAGTTATAATAAGTGATAATTTTGCTGGAATTATTTTAAAATTTATACACCTTATTATTTTATGCTTTTGTCTCTTTTGGATGTGCAACAAATTTTATCATGCAATATGTATCTCGAGGCGTGACATGAATCTCAAGACAATTTATTGAGTAATAGATTTTTAAAGATCAATTAAAAACTTGACGAGATGGATATAATGATACCAAATTAGTCCAATTCAAGTCAAATCAAGTCCAAATCAAATCATTGAACCATTTTCGAAAGCTCGTGGTGGCTAATTGAAAAGTCAAATCGATTCCAAATATGACAAGTTTATGATCAAATCAAGTGCATCGACGAGAAGAATCCAATTAGCTCACGATCATTCAAAATTTGACATCATTAAGCTATTCAAAGATCTGCAAGCAGAATTACTGGAGTTTCGAGGAGGCAATGTCGGCCCCCCCTCGAAGATAAGCTGATTTGTTCTAGCCTGTGTAGAAGTATATTTTAGTCTTTATAACTGTTGAAATATCTAATTTAAATTACATGATTTATTGCATTTCCTGTTATGACTTTTTATAGGAAACAATTTATTCCTATCGAAAGTTATGAGGAATAAATTCTTTCCTTAATATAAGAAGATATTTTCTTTTCATATATTAGAAATTATTTGTTTTCTTATTTTATATTATTTCATATTATCTCCTAATAATTAATATGAGTTAATTATTGGAGATATCAAGTGATATATCTTTTTTTTATTAATTTTCCTATTATAGGATTATTGTAAGGGTTATTTATAACCCCGTTCATATCAATGAAATTAAGTGATTCCAAAGTATTTCGTATTATTTTAAATTTCAACAATAACATTTCAATTATCTTATGTAGCATTTGTAGATGATGATAAAGTATTTTTTTTGTATATTTTTTTATGTTGTTTTTTTTAGACTTATGCCTTGTTAGATTTGCATCCTCTCAGGCGGCGTGTATCTTTTAAGACTTGTCCCATCTCAAGCTTATGGCTTCTAGAAGCTTGAAATGCGTCGTCGACCGTTGACCATCGCTGACCGTCTTCGACCACCGTCAACCGCTAACCGTCGCCGACCACCACCTGTTGATCATCGCTGATCATTATCAGTCGCCATTCGTTCCTACAACAAACTCATCCGTACATGGCGTTGTAGCTTAAAAAGTCTAGTAATTTTTTCTCTTCTATGGGACAAGTTGTTGTAACTGTAATCATATTTTTATAGTAGAACTATTCAGCTAAGTCAGGCCTCATGGGTTTTCCCTTTACGGGTTTTGCAAGTAAAAACTTGAAGTGTGATTACTAGTTTTATTCTCTCTTTTGAGTGTGTGTTGAATATTTGTGTCATGGTAAGATTATAATCTGTCACTCTACTGCGGAAAATTTTCTAGCATACATCAATTCTAATTATATTTATTATATATCTCTTTGATATTTAAAAATTGGAAAAATTACACACATAGCACCCAAATCTTTTGGATTTATCTGTCTCACGCTTAAACTTTCATTTTTACACTTATAGGGTTTGTTTGGTGCAGTTGTAGCTTCTCAGTTTTTCAGCTACAGCTGCGCTACCCCAGAAAGCTGTTGCGGGGAATTTGACTGTCTGTTTGGTGCAGCTGTGTGAAAACAGCTTTGGGGCAGCTGTTTCTGAAAAAAAATGACTATACTGCCTCTATTTGATAAAACTGTTTAAAACATAACTGTAACAGCAACATATTTGATACTTCTGAAGCAGAATTTCACTTTGAAACAGTTCAAAAACTCAGATGTCCAACTAACTTAACAGCGGATACCGAAAGTGGTAAAGAAAAATGAGAAAACCACAATTCATTAAAACAAACCAAAATTTCGTAAATTATCTTTCCAATAGATGTTTTTTTTTTTTTTATTGATTACATCTTTTGTTATGTGCTTGAGGCGTGTCCCAGATGGTCCGGACGAATGTCCTAGGCAACATGAAGCTGTATACAGTCTTGTTGTACTAAAACAGACATCAACATATATCATATCCAAAAGTGATGCTAGCACAATTATACACGAGGAATGCATGCTTCAGAAATAAATAAGGGTCATCTACATACATACTACCCATTTAGCATATATGTACATGTATAACACCGAATCTGCATATAAGATAAATACTATTTTGGTTATTTAACCAACAATAATATAATTACTTTTGCATTCCAATATCATTAGAGATTCAGTGCAGAATTCTCTGTGTGAAGTTAATCTTTATTATTGTAAATTTAGTGAGAAATTGATCTTTTTAAAACATAAATTCAGTTTTGAGCCACAAAAAATTTACAAAATTTGAATCCACAAAATTTACTAAGTCATACATTTATAGCAGTTGCAGAATAAGATGCACATATAACTTTAAAGCCAATGGCAAAAGACACACATGCCATGGCTCGAATTGTGGCAGAACACACTCCTTTCCATTCAAATTAGGATGTAATTCTTTCCTTAGACAAAGTAAATGGGAGATCTATTTTTTATCCACTCTAATTTGGCACATCTGAAACAAAAATTAGCTACTCTACCCTCTAATAACAGTTCCAATCAAGAAATTATATACTCCTCTTGTGGTAATCATAAGAAAAATAAAAGCATGCAACCTTTCAAGGGCTTGTATATGGACCCCAAATGTAAATTCTAACACACCGTACCCAAAATGAAAAAAGAATGATGAAACATGACATAGAAACAATACAAGGATCTGTATAGAACCATTGAGAAAATGCTAAAATCATTGGAAAAGCACGCCAAAGGCATAAAAATTTGTCCTCATATTTTAGAACAAGACTAAGAAATATGTCAAGGAAGAAGGAATTACATCCTAATTAATATATAAATATATATACACACACATACATACACACACACACACATACATACACACACACACACACACACATAGATAGTAATATTGATTAAAGTCACAATCTATGATTTTAAGAAAAACACTCTTATGTACTTACAAATCTAACAACTAAGCTTTCATATTGTCTCGGAATAAAAAATAAGGTACAGATTCATTGCAGAAGGAAGAAGGAAAGAACTAATTATGAAAGCTGAAATTATAATCGGTCTCCATGCTCATAAACAAAAAAGAAGCAAGTCTGTCGATTCAATACAATTCTAGCCACGAACTCATGTTGTAACTCTCCAAAAAGACAAGAGGGCCTTTCGTTCACCAACAAGGACTTCACACACAAGGAGGATGAGGGAGCAGATGAGAGATTCGAGTGAAAGATGGCCTTCTAAAAGCAAGAATTTCACGTAGGAGGAGGAAGAGAGAGTGAGGGACGATTTCGAGCGAGGAAGGAGGAGTTTCGTGCAGAACGAGGATGAGGGAGCGGGGGATGAGAGCTTCAAGCAGGGAAGAAGAGCTTCAAGCGGGGAAGAAGATATTTGCGCGACAATTTTAGGGGACTTGGCAGATTAGGGTGAAATCAGGATCGCAGACGAACGACGAAGAAGAAGGGCGGAAGAGGGCATCTGAGTAAAATGCCGAAGGCGCCGCGAGAGCGAAGCAGGGTTGCGGGGTCCATCCCACGGCCCACGTTTAAGGAAATTCGTGGGCCCACCGTGGCGTGACCACCGCCCCAAACACTGTAAACACGCGGCGGGGCGCCACATCGTTGCTTTACCGCCGCCCCAAACAGACTCATAGTGCTTTACCTATGGAAGAAAAGATGAATTTGACTATTAAAAGATGAAAATGAGTGCTACTTTTCATATGATATTCGTAAGAATAAAAATTTAGATGCTAGACAAGTAGATTTTAATTTTTTTTCTATCACATCCATGTTGCGTAATTTCATTGAACTCCGCACGTACTCTACGTGCGGAGTCCTGATGTAATATTTTCTCGTGGTGATGTAGTAATCTAGTGTTACAGTCATATAGAGAGAGAGAGAGAGATTAAGTTACTCTAATGATGTTAATTAAGGAATGAAAATAATCGCTAATGCTTAAGTTAACTAATGAAATTAATCTCTATTGCACAACAATTCTTAGCTTAAATTGCCATGATTATATTAAAAATGAAGAGAATGTTTGCCTG